CCTAATATATGTATAAGTCTAGATTTGTGTGAGCCTATTTTGTATGGTAAGCCCAAGTGTAAATTTGTAAGCCTACTTTTGCCACAGCCTCTAAGTTGTATGTATAAGCCAACTTTTGTACAAGGGCACAATATTTGTGTAAGCCCAGTTGCATCTGTGATCGTGTTTGTTATGTCAGCCCTCAATGCTGTACGTGCGAGTCCTCTCATGTCACGGGCCCTCACTGTATATGTAAACCCATATTATTTTTTTTTTGTAAGAAAAAAAAAGGAGGAGGGGGGGGTTAATAGGGGCCAGACTGACTGACGTTCAACCCCACCAGGACATCATTGGGATGAGGATAACCCGGGGACAGGTCCCAGAAACCCCATTCAACCCATAGGCTGGGTTATATTAAGGCCCCTTAGAAGAGCCAGGGTGGGGGCTTTAAAACAACAAAAAAATTGTGTATGGTACTTGGAGGGAAATAAAACAAAGTCTGCCAGCACTCGCCAGAAAATGTCTATTAAAAAAGTGCTGGTGAAAAGGTGCCGGTACTGCAGACCATCAGACAAAAACGCCCTGTGTGAGCCCATATCAAAGTAGAAGTGTAATTCTGTTTGATATGCCCCCCCCCCCCCCCCCCCCCAGTGTTGCAAATGTTAGCAGACAGGGTATTCACAAGCCCACTGCATCTGTGAGAGGCCGCACACGTGCAAGGACACACCACGACAACATCTACTCACCAGTCCAGCAACCACAACAGCTCCTAGGGTGGACCTTGAGGTCAGCGAGGCAAACATGGACAGCACCGATATGAGAACCTCATTGTCACTACCGCTGGCCAGTGAATGGAGGCTATCTCCGGCGGAGGGCCCCACAAAACTGTCACTGGTCTGCAAAAACATGAAGGGCAATAACTGCATCAGTTCCTGTGATTTGGCCTTGAATTCACACATATCAAGGCATTGATTATGAGAGATCAAAAGTTTCAGTCCATTGCTCAGCAATTGAGCTGAGTGCTCGGTGTGACACTGTGAGATGTGGATTTCATATGGAATATTCTTTCTGTTCTGTCAACAACAGCTTTGTGTCGTGGACTGCAATTAAAATGGAGGGCGGCAATTACTTTCAGGATGGCAAGGTTGCGGTACAATGCCGGTCTGTATATTTAATATTTACTTTGTGCAAAAACAGCGAGCTGCAATTCTGGTGTGGGACCATTAAGTGTTGGCACATCTGACAGCTGCCTTATGTATTCATTGTGTGTGTGCCTGAGCTTCAGGATTTTGCTTTAAACTGACAAGTTTTTCACTAGTTTTCAAATGGGACCGCGGCGGACATAAATTTTGTGTGCTTTCTAGTGGCACAGGAACATAGCAGTTAGGGGAAAACTTGTCTGCAGTGAAAGTGGAAACTTGATTAATGATTAAACATACACTGGTAGATGAGAGACAACCTGGCACAAGTGACACAAGTGGATCTATTTCAAACTACAGGGTACACTGTGCATGTGATGTGTGTGTGTGTGTGTGTAAATATAGATATACACACACACATATATGTGTGTATATATACACATACACATGCACACACATATATATAGCATCAGAGAGGTATATGTCTCTAGCAAACCTCTGGATACAGTTATAAACTCATACAGTCATCCCAGGTATTTAGCTTTCTCTTGATATTTTTTAGTATGCAGGAGTGTCAGGAGATGAACAGTCAGATAGATTAGCTGGTTCTGCACCAGTGGGTGGTGAATTTTTGCATGACAAGCTAGATGCAGATGTGGCCAAGGCCCTTTGGGAGTCTGTGAACAATGCGGAGGCAAGCACAGATCATTATGGTCTGGAGAGAATGGTTCAGCTGGGAGTGGCTAGGGGATCTGGTTCAACACTCTACACTCAGAGGAAAGGCAAAACTGACATATAATAAAACTGCTACTGGCACCATCGGAATTGGAACTTCATGCTGGCTGCTGTAGGTGATGACAGAGTGCCTATGGGAATCACCTGTGCTGGGATGTTGGTTCTGTGCTCAACACAACACAAGTACAGACAAAAATGTTGAAACTATGGGCAAGCACATAAGGATAAAAGTCTCAAATTTGATTGAGATAGAGAATGTTAAAATTATGGTTGTACAATGTAGGATGGTTGAGATAGAGAATGTTAAAATTATGGTTGTACAATGTAGGATGGTTGAGATAGAGAATGTTAGAATTATGGTTGTACAATGTAGGATGGTTGAGATAGAGAATGTTAAAATTATGGTTATACAATGTAGGATGGTTGAGATAGAGAATGTTAAAATTATGGTTGTACAATGTAGGATGGTTGAGATAGAGAATGTTAAAATTATGGTTGTACAATGTAGGATGGTTGAGATAGAGAATGTTAGAATTATGGTTGTACAATGTAGGATGGTTGAGATAGAGAATGTTAAAATTATGGTTGTACAATGTAGGATGGTTGAGATAGAGAATGTTAAAATTATGGTTGTACAATGTAGGATGGTTGAGATAGAGAATGTTAAAATTATGGTTGTACAATGTAGGATGGTTGAGATAGAGAATGTTAAAATTATGGTTGTACAATGTAGGATGGTTGAGATAGAGAATGTTAAAATTATGGTTGTACAATGTAGGATGGTTGAGATAGAGAATGTTAAAATTATGGTTGTACAATGTAGGATGGTTGAGATAGAGAATGTTAGAATTATGGTTGTACAATGTAGGATGGTTGAGATAGAGAATGTTAAAATTATGGTTTGTACAATGTAGGATGGTTGAGATAGAGAATGTTAAAATTATGGTTGTACAATGTAGGATGGTTGAGATAGAGAATGTTAAAATTATGGTTGTACAATGTAGGATGGTTGAGATAGAGAATGTTAGAATTATGGTTGTACAATGTAGGATGGTTGAGATAGAGAATGTTAAAATTATGGTTGTACAATGTAGGATGGTTGAGATAGAGAATGTTAAAATTATGGTTGTACAATGTAGGATGGTTGAGATAGAGAATGTTAAAATTATGGTTGTACAATGTAGGATGGTTGAGATAGAGAATGTTAGAATTATGGTTGTACAATGTAGGATGGTTGAGATAGAGAATGTTAAAATTATGGTTGTACAATGTAGGATGGTTGAGATAGAGAATGTTAAAATTATGGTTGTACAATGTAGGATGGTTGAGATAGAGAATGTTAAAATTATGGTTGTACAATGTAGGATGGTTGAGATAGAGAATGTTAAAATTATGGTTGTACAATGTAGGATGGTTGAGATAGAGAATGTTAGAATTATGGTTGTACAATGTAGGATGGTTGAGATAGAGAATGTTAAAATTATGGTTGTACAATGTAGGATGGTTGAGATAGAGAATGTTAGAATTATGGTTGTACAATGTAGGATGGTTGTACAATGAGATAGAGAATGTTAAAATTATGGTTGTACAATGTAGGATGGTTGAGATAGAGAATGTTAAAATTATGGTTGTACAATGTAGGATGGTTGAGATAGAGAATGTTAAAATTATGGTTGTACAATGTAGGATGGTTGAGATAGAGAATGTTAAAATTATGGTTGTACAATGTAGGATGGTTGAGATAGAGAATGTTAAAATTATGGTTGTACAATGTAGGATGGTTGAGATAGAGAATGTTAAAATTATGGTTGTACAATGTAGGATGGTTGAGATAGAAAATGTTACAATTATGGTTGTACAATGTAGGATGGTTGAGATAGAGAATGTTAAAATTATGGTTGTACAATGTAGGATGGTTGAGATAGAGAATGTTAGAATTATGGTTGTACAATGTAGGATGGTTGAGATAGAGAATGTTAAAATTATGGTTGTACAATGTAGGATGGTTGAGATAGAAAATTCTTATGTGATGGTTGTTGATTTACAGAAAGAATGAGACAGGAAACATCAACTGCAAGATGGTTGTAGATTATAGAAAGAATGAGACAGGAAACTTGTATAAGATGGTTGTAGATTGAAGGAAGACGACAGAAAACTCTGATGTGATGGTTTTTAAATACATAAAGAATCAGAAAGGAAATCTATACATGAAATATATAGGCACCCAAAAGAAATAACTCAAGTGAACATTAACATTTAGTGACTGCAGCGTTAATTATCAGAAATATGTAGAAACATTGTTGTAGATAGCACAACTGATCTAGACATTGCAGACAGAATGACATCTGTACCCCTCTGCTGGTCACCATTTGGGAGGATGTCCTGAGATAGACAGAAACAGACACTCACACAGACACATGTATTTTCAGTTTTATATTTATAAGATATTCTTCTTCTTTTGTCAAAATCTGCTTGTGCCACTAGGCATCGCAGTCTATCAGATGATCGGCAACCAAGCCAGGGCGCGCTCAGTCGCTTCATATGCTGTGATGTTATGAAGTCTCAAGTTGTCCGTGACTCCTTCAATCCATCTTCTTCTTGGTCTTCCCCTGCCTCTTGGTGTTTCGATTTTCATGTTGTATGCTCTTGATGCTGGCATCGTTGGTTCCATTCTCATTAGGTGACCAAACCATTTCATTCTTTGCTTCTCAATAAATTTAACGATGGGTATGGTTCCAATAGTTCTTGTAATCACATCGTTTCTCACTCGATCTCTTCTGGTTTTATTCGCAGCCATTCTCAAACATCTCATTTCACAGGTGGTTAGTCTTCTCTCGTGTTCTTTTGTTAATGTCCAAGTCTGACATTGATAACCTAATGTCTATAAGATATTACAGATTGTAAAAAGACTGAGATAGAAGAAATATACTATGATTGCAGATTGTAAGAAGACTCAAATATATCTACAGATGCTAACCTGTGGAACTTTCCCCAATGAGATTTGGCTCCTGGTGCCAAGGAACCGCTGCATGAGAGCCGTGGGGCTCAGTGAGAATCGGAACTGTATATCCTCCCTGAAACCTGCACACAGGTTCCGACAGTCGAGGCGGTAGGCAATCTCAAAGTCTCGCTTTGGCAGTAGGCTCATCAGGTGAGCTTTGTTTTCTTCAGGCAAGATTTCTGACAGACGGTCTGTGGAAATACAGCAATATACAGCATTAGTGGGTGGGCAAGATTTCTGACAGACGGTCTGTGGAAATACAGCGATATACAGCATTAGTGGGCAGACCAGATTTCTGACAAGTCGGTGTGGGGAAATACAGCAATATACAGCATTAGTGGGCAGACCAGATTTCTGACAAGTCGGTGTGGGGAAATACAGCAATATACAGCATTAGTGGGCAGACCAGATTTCTGACAGTCGGTGTGTGAAAATACAGCGATATACAGCATTAGAGGGCAGAAAAGATTTCTGACAGTCGGTGTAGGGAAATACAGCAATATACAGCATTAGTGGGCAGACCAGATTTCTGACAAGTCGGTGTGGGGAAATACAGCGATATACAGCATTAGTGGGCAGACCAGATTTCTGACAAGTCGGTGTGTGAAAATACAGCGATATACAGCATTAGAGGGCAGACCAGATTTCTGACAGTCGGTGTGGGGAAATACTGCAATATACAGCATTAGAGGGCAGACCAGATTTCTGACAGTCGGTGTGGGGAAATACAGCAATATACAGCATTAGAGGGCAGACCAGATTTCTGACAGTCAGTGTGTGGAAATACAGCAATATACAGCATTAGAGGGCAGACCAGATTTCTGACAGTCGGTGTGGGGAAATACAGCAATATACAGCATTAGAGGGCAGACCAGATTTCTGACAGTCGGTGTGGGGAAATACAGCATTATACAGCATTAGAGGGCAGACCAGATTTCTGACAGTCGGTGTGGGGAAATACAGCAATATACAGCATTAGAGGGCAGACCAGATTTCTGACAAGTCGGTGTGGGGAAATACAGCAATATACAGCATTAGTGGGCAGACCAGATTTCTGACAAGTCGGTGTGGGGAAATACAGCAATATACAGCATTAGTGGGCAGACCAGATTTCTGACAGTCGGTGTGGGGAAATACAGCAATATACAGCATTAGTGGGCAGACCAGATTTCTGACAAGTCGGTGTGGGGAAATACAGCAATATACAGCATTAGTGGGCAGACCAGATTTCTGACAAGTCGGTGTGGGGAAATACAGCAATATACAGCATTAGTGGGCAGACCAGATTTCTGACAAGTCGGTGTGTGGACATATGGGGCTGTTTGAGGTTAGTGGACAGACCAGATTTCTGACAGACGGTCTGTGGAAATACAATGATATACAGCATTAGTGGGCAGACCAGATTTCTGACAGTCGGTCTGTGAAAATACAATGATATACAGCATTAGTGGGCAGACCAGATTTCTGACAGTCGGTGTGTGGAAATACAGCGATATACAGCATTAGTGGGCAGACCAGATTTCTGACAGTCGGTGTGTGGAAATACAGCAATTTACAGCATTACTGGGCAGACCAGATTTCTGACAGTCGGTGTGGGGAAATACAGCAATTTACAGCATTACTGGGCAGACCAGATTTCTGACAGTCGGTCTGTGGACACATGGGGCTGTTTGAGGTTAGTGGACAGGCAAGATTTATGGTGGACAAAATTTCTTACAAGCGGAAATATTGCTATATATGAGACTATTTGAGAGGCAAGATTTTTGACATAAGCTTTGATATCTGACGGGTGGGGTGTGGACACTTGGATGTATATAAGGTTAGTGGACAGGTAAGATTTCTGACATAAGATTTGATTTCTGACAGGTGAAGTGTAGACACCTGGATGTATATAAGGTTAGGGGAGAGGCAAGATTTCTGACACAATATCTGATTTCTGACAGGTAGAGTGTGGACACTTGGATGTATATAAGGTTTGGGGACAGGCAAGATTTCTGAGAGGTAGGGTGTGGACACTTGGATGCATATAAGGTTAGGAGACAAACAGGATTTCAGACAGACAAGATTCCTGAAAGGCAGGTTGTGGAAACGTGGAGGTATTTGAAGTTAGTGGACAGGCAAGATTTCTGACAGGCAGTCTGTGGAAATTTAGAGGTATGCAAGATTAGTAGACAGACAATTTTTATAGCAGACAAGACAATAATTGATAATTTATCATGTGTTCGTGAATTTTTATCTTTCCATTTTTATTTTTCTAGTGTTTTTACCCACTTATTTCATTTTTACTTCATAGAAATTTCCCCTATTTTGCTTTAAAAAATCTTTATCTCGTTTCATTATCTCAAGAAAACATGTGGGTCACATTTTTGATAATTCTGTGTTCTAGCTATAATTCAGTGTTCTAGCTATAATTCAGTGTTCTAGCTAACTGGTCATGTTATGTTTATCACTAATTAAGAATTTGGCTGTTATGTTTGCTAGCATCTTTCGTAGGTTTCGTTTAACTGAGTTTCTCATTTACATTGTTTATTTAGTTTTTAGTTTCAGCATGGCCGCTGTCATTCTGATTACATATTATTCCTTTCTTTGCAAAATAATTATCTGCACCATTGTAAAAGAAGTATATGCTGCAAAGAATTAAATTTTACAGATTATAGCAATGGATTACATATAATATATACTACAATCAATTGTGTACAAAACTGCAAGCAAATTATTCTCATAATTATATCTTTCCCCACCACCATCAAGTATTGGAAATTAACTTTTCCACTTCATTCCACTTACACGGGGTAAAAATAAGGTACAATAAAGTTCGGTTGACAAGACTACAGAAAGTTACAACAAATTCTACATGCCTGATAAATAAGCAAAATATTTACCATAAAGCTAAGACATTAAAAAAAAAAAAAATCCACAAGTCACTATGTACCTTGGCGATCACAGCAGCAATATCACTGGTTGTTATAGCAACATTAGCATTGGTAGATGCAAAAAAACTTAAAAAGAATGAGGATGAAAACACAGTGGGGTATGCCGCAATCAGCCAATGATATATTAAAAGTTTTCCCAATATACACTGTTGCTACAATTCATAACTAGAAGCAAGAGATTACCAATAATTTGATATGGTTTAATGCAAAACTATAAGGAAGTGATCCACAATCTTATATGGTTTAATGTGTAACTAAAAGAAAGAGATTACCCAAAATTTAATGTCTTTTTCTTCTTCTTCTTCGTGTTCACCAGTTGTAAACTCTGGCAGAAAGTTCTGGTTGTTCGTCCACTTCTGGACTGCAGTCCTGTGTTGTGTGTGCATCCATTTTACAGATCTGACTCATTGGTATGCAGAGTGCTGGTTCCTTGCCTCTCAGGCAGATGCACTCTGACTTCTGACTCCCCAATTAGTCAACTATTATGACATGCTTGTGGGTAGGCAGTGGGTTAATTCTTGCTTTCCCTGTAATAGGGCCCCGGCACCGACAAGGAAATGGTTTTAAGTACAACCAGAAGGGATTACTCAAAACTGCATATGATTTAATGTGTAACGAGAAGGAAGAGAACCACAATTTTAAACGCTTTAATGAATAACTAAAAAGAAAAGATTACATAAAATTTAACTCTTTGAGTCCCAAGGAACGCATCATACGTTCATAGGTTCCTACCTAGAAGCCCAATGAACTCATGAATCGCCGATTTTATTACTTTCTTTACTACCCCCCTGGGCCTGTGGTGTTAAACCCCCTGGGACTCAAAGAGTTAATATGGTTTCATGTATGTTTCATGTATAACTAGAAGGAAAAATTTCACCCAAAATGTTATGTTTTAATGTTTAGCTAGAAGAAAGAGATTACCCAAAAATTCAATGGGTTTATGTATAACTATAAGGGACATATTACCCATACTTTCATATAGTTTAATGTATTAAAAGTTAAGTTAGACGTATAAACTTTGCAGCCATATTCTTTAACTCATCGCCATGGAACAGTCCTAGCCAACTAAAAATGTTGGACACTAGACATGGCTCATCATCATGTGCCCTGCCAACTGGCGTAGGCGCTCATGTATCTCCACTAGACATGGCTCATCATCATGTGCCCTGCCAACTGGCGTAGGCGCTCATGTATCTCCACTATACAATGCTGCAAATGTGAATATCCATGTCTAAGTTACACAGCAATCTTCGTCTGTAATTTTATCAACCTCCTAACTACGTTAAAAGATCTTTTTAACCATTTCAGTCATAAAAACCGAACAGTGAAATTTGGAATGTAATAAATTTCTAACCTATACAAAGGCATATATTTTTTAAAAAGAGGAAGGAATGTACATTTTGAATCTGACAATATGTTTTTGTTTAATACTGTTATAGTCACAATAATAAATAAGGTTCAGACCCCAAGACCCAACAACATTCAATACATTACATTGCAGTGTATGTAAGAAGGTACATGATCCGAATATTTACTAGCCCTGGCAAGCCAGACTCTAGCTTGGGACAGTCTCAGGTCAACACACAGACAAAGTGGAAACAGCCAGTCTCATAGCTAGAAGCAGAAATGTCAACACTATCCGGCTATGATATCTATACTATTCTAAACAAACAACTAAAAACACAACTCAAACAATGCACAGCTACTAAAAGGAACATAATTATAATTCTGACATTCAAAATCTATGTAATGTAATGTGGCAAACTGTTCAAACTGCACACACAAATATCTAAGGTTCAACCAATCATTTGGTAGTGTTTAGATATACGGGCTTCCCCGTCAACAAATAAAAGCGCGCCATCAAATCAGATAACTATGCATTTATCCCCCCCCCCCCCCCCACCTTTTTTTTTTTTTTTTACACATTATGCATACAGCTACTCAGTACACTCACGGAAATAAAATAAGAAAGTTGATATAGCCATAAACAGCCACAGAGAGAGAAAGGGACAAAAAGAGATTTCTTTGTCGCACATAAGGCTGTGTCGACCTGGGAGCCAGAGTCAACTATAACAAATCTGTCGCACAGTGGATTCAAACCTAAGATCTACGGGCTGATAAGTTAAAAGCGCATACACAGACCTCTGATTTCATGCAGCGAACATATAACTGAACAATTTATTAATAAATAATTATCTACACAAAATGTATGCCTATTCAAACTGGACCCCAACAGAAAGAATATAAACATATTCAAA